ACAAAATACAATTATTATTGTTTGCTTGGGTATAATTACATTTAAGGAACAAATATAATAATTTTGGCAAGCAAATAATCATATACTAATATTCATAAAAACTTATGTAAAAAAAACTAAATTAAGCTACAAAAAAAAAATAAATAAATAAAAAGATTGTATTAATTAATTATTTTCTATACATTATTTAATAATTACATGTATATTTTTGGTTGGAAGGTATAATGAAGCTGAAATTTTGGGTACAAACATTTAAAGATGTACGAGTATATGAACTGTTAGAACATACACTATTTTACACACATTATTTTATTTTTATTTTTTTCTCAATTATTGTTTCAAGCATAATAATTAAGAACTAATATTTTATCCGGTTTGTCGACTTGTTATACGATTAAATGTACCTATACAAAACATCTTGGAAACAACCATACTTAAATTTTACCGTTCGACTACATCTATTACAACTGTAAAGTTTAATTATTCAATTCAATTATATGTTATACTAATGTTTGTATTAAATTTTCATTATCGTGTAAAAAAAATAACAGCCCATACATTCATGACCGTCCCATAGTTTGAGTGGCCCACTCTGATTTTCTCGGTAACCCGCCGGATCAATACGCCTCTGTATAATAGCAATTTTTTTCGTTTTAATGTGTTTGAATTTTTGAAATTATAGTTTCCATAGTAGGTTTTATATTTAATATTATTAAATATTAAATTTGTGATAATCAGATCGATATTTAAAATAACACATTTTTATTTGATTAACTATTTGTTTATTATTTTCAAGGATCCCCAAACAATAATTTGCAACCCCTTGGTTGAAAACCACGGCTCTAAACAATTATAATTTAAGAAACTAATATAAAACATATACTACCAAATTTGTTAAAATTATAAATATTAAATAAAATATTTATCAAATGTTAATAATCATTTTATCTACCTACATCAATACCAATAATGATACTGATAGCATATTGTAACGGTTACGACAGTACTAAAACAGACTTCTGAGAACTCCCAATTCATTGTTACCACCCCTACTAATCAGAAAGAGACATCAAGAAACACAAACATAGTCTAGGGACTTGGAGCCAAATTCAAGCTTTCTAGACTTACACAATGACCTTGAAAATACAGCCATGGTTAGGGGAGGTCAGAACGATGATCACATGACCCTCTCCATGGCTGTAACCCATTAATCGGTACGGCGATCGGTTTATATACCGGACGATTTCCGAAGGACAATCACCTCCATTAACCTTCTTTCAATCTTATTACTTCAATCTAACTGTCAACCAGAACTTGAATAAGAAGTGAAGGACCTCCAAAACGCGAACAAGCAGCACAGCGAATCATTCGTACAAACCTGTGAGCAACCCACCCGGACATCGCCACATTCTATTTGTACGATTCGGTGACCTAGTGAGTATCACCACCGAGGCCAGACAAACATAAGATCGGATTAACCATGCACAGAAACTACGGCGACGCTGCCGCTCACTCGCCGACAGCGGAAAACCCTTCACCCCCATCCGGCCGCTTTTGAGAGCCTCCCACTACCGGGCCCAGTTTATCCGGTAACAGTCACTTTCTAGAGCTAACATTACCGTAGGTCGACCCTCCTCCATTCCCAAATACTATACGACACCTTATCCACATTGTAAACAGAATGGGAGCCTTTGATCCGTCGCGGAAACACACCGAACTCGGCAGCCCGCTGTCTAGCTAAGTTGCCGTGCTAGCAGACTACCAGAACAACTGAACCTTATACTTATATATAAACTCAAGTATTCAACTTAGAATTAAATAAAGTAGGTTAATACTTTACACAGCCCGTTTATTATTCCAAACCGAAGAATCAGGCGACAATCAACAATCAATCGCATGGAAAATGTTATGTAACGAACATGATTTCATGGAAAAGTTAATCGTAATCACCAATTATAAATTGATAGAATGTACAATTTAAGAAATCGCACAATCATTTTAACTATGAAATTCATATTTTGAAAAATTTTTGAATTTCATAATTTATCAAACTTAAATAAGTTATTTTAAACCATATTTTTTTTAAAAATCCAATTTACACAATAGCTAATTTGCTATTTTTTTAAAATTGTAGAATAAATTTTAAAATTTGAGTTCAAAATATCAAAAAGAATCTTTTAATACAATTTTGTTGTAGCGCAAGACCTAAGTTTTATTAAAAAAAATAAAATAAAAATAATAAATAAAACAAAAGTTACTCCATTTGTCAAATTATCCTGGAACATCCAGTATGATTATTTTTAATACTGTAAACATGTTTTAATTCTTACCATTCTATTCTGCATTCTCAAGACTTATTTTCGTACTAAAGTTTTCATGCGATTTTAATATTTATTCAAGCTCAATTAATTACATATTGATTTTTAATTTTAAACTTAATGCTACAATAATTGTTTCATACTAAATAATGTACTGAATTTATTTCATTGGATGGTTGTTAAAAACTTTTGATTCTAAAAGTATTCCTTACGACTTAGTTTTAGTTTTTTATTTGTGATTTGTAGACGTATAATAAAATATTTTTAAAATTCTTTAAAAACAGCTTATACTTTTAAAATACGTGTGATTGTGAAATTCTATTACATAATTATTTCACTATTGTCATTAGATTTAATAATATTATTAATAAATGTTTAATAATACTGTTATTTTTCTTATTGAAGATTATTACTGTTATTGATCCTTTACTGTTATTGAGTTTCAAAATAAATAAATTCACAATAAATTCAAATTATATTTTTACAAATAATGTTATAGCTGAAATCTTACAAATAAATATTTAAAGATAATTTTTAAAAACTGATACGCCTTTTATTTTTTTTAATGAAATGATTCATAAATATAAATCAGCAAGAGTCTAGATATATTAATAAAGAATATAATACAACTTATATATTATTAAAATGCAGAAGAAATAGCAATATGTTAAAGCAAATTATTTTACAGTCAAACGTATACAAACTAAATAAAACTAAAATTGTTCGTAAACTTCGTCTAGAAAATAATAAAATCACATTGTCTTTTTATCATTGGATACTAGAACAATTATGTTTATGGGAAACTTCCAATACATTTGTTTTGTTCGTCCCATAAACATAACAGTTAACGCTGATGGATTTTCTTTTTATTCAAGGTTATTAAAAATAAATTGTTAATCCAATTGCTGTTATTTGTTTTTTAGAATAAATTGTAATCTGTAAAATCAAAAATTTAAATCATATTTTAAAAAATACATGCTTATGAATTAAAGATGGATATAATTGGATTATTTATAGTAATTCATAACTCACAATAACAATTATAATTAGAAATCGGGTATTATGCATTTAGATGGGATATTTCATTTAGAAAATATTTGATTCTTGATTTTTCAAATTTTTTAAACGAAATGATTAATTATGTCTTTTAATTATTAATACAATCAACATCATATTAGTTTACCTTTTTTTACTTACTTTGCATTTATTCAAATTGTAAACGATTTAAAGAAGATACAGTCTTTTAGAAATATTTATTATAGTTTATACTGATTTTTAATATACAATTATTGCTATCTTATCGAAAATTAAATATTTATATTATTATATATTTACAATGAAATTAAAATTTATTTTCTAAAAATTGCACTCAACTCTCATCAAGTTTCTAAAATAATGATTTCAAAATATAAATGTCTTAACCCATTATTATGATTAGTGAGTTTTTAGTTATGGAACATTTTAATAAAAGTTAAATTTAATATTTAAACACTTTGAATGTTTCCATTAATCGTTTAAAATATAATACTATAACTATAATTCAGAAAATAAACAACTTTTTTATTTGCAATCCTATTAAAATAAATTACGAATTTCTACGATAAATTTGAATTCGAATAAATTAAATCTAGAATTTCTTTTATGGATTTATGTATAAAGAAATGTAGTTGACGCGCTTTAATGGTAACAGGTTCTAATCAATATATTACATTAATAATTTTAACAAAGATCAGAGAAAAATATAATAATATTAAACTTCTTCGTTTAATGAGTGAGTACAATATAAATATGAAATTAAGTCACTATAAGATTTTCAATATAACCTCGTGAATAATTATTAATCTCTTCAATAACTTTTTATCGTACTTTTTTAAATTTGTTTTATAGTTTAGGATTAAACATTTTTCCAGTTATTACCTTTAATCTTATCGAGTAAAAATGTATTTTTCTTAAATATTATTGATGTAATTAAGTATGTTTCATAATAACGTGTTTTCAGAAAATATTCAATGATCAATGATGAAAAAACAATTCATATACTATAGCTTAAAATATGTTAGAGCAATTAACTTTTTTAATTTTTCATGTTATAAACTATTTGACAACACCGCTACCGAAATACATTAAAAATTAAATACGAATTTATAAAAATCGATTAAATGTATAACGTGTGACGCCTATTTTACGTATTTCTTCACCTCTAGCAATATTGTTCTAAGATTCCTCTAAAACAATAGAAATATTAAAACTGTATATGAAAAAACATCAAATATAATGCTCAGCTTTTAACTTAGTAAACACATAAAAGTGTTACACAAAACGGGAATGTTGGAAAAACTGTGTTTCTAGAAACAAAAACACGAGAAACAATATATGATTGTAAATATAGGCGACCGATAATTCCATAATTTGATTTTGAATCGAAAAATAAACATAAAACAATAGGCTTCGTGCGGTATATAACGTACGGAGCGCTGGGTAAATATTTGTTCTTATAAATTACGAAAGCTAATGTACGAGATGACGTCTTGGGAATACTATACTGCAATTACTACACAATGTATCAGACGGAGATCGTGTATAAAACTGTGTTCGTAGCTCCCAAGCTGCTGCCACCGATATTGTTTACGAACGAAATACTCTCCGCTCTCGTTGTTAATGAACTTCTAATTTATCATTCAGGGGCGCGTTGCTGTGCATCCGGTTCCTCCGTACGCGTTGTCTTGGGCATCCGGATACATAATCGCCGCAGGATGTGATTTTTCGGTACAGTTTTATGACCAGAACGGACGATCTAGCAAACAGTTCGACTATTCTCCGGACTGTGGTTGCCCGGACCAAAAAGAGTTCACCATAGCCTGCAGCAGTCCCAGTGGACAAGCCGTGATAGTCGGAAGTTTCAACAGGTTTGATCAACCGTTTTCGTCACCTACCTATCCTTTACGTTACAATTTTGACATTTTCATCAACACATACGGTTACAAGCTAACAATTTAATGATATAAGTACATGATTTATATATAATATTTACAATATTATGGTAGGTACGATTTGTATTTAAAAAAATATCACTATTTTCTGAACAAATATATAAAATACATTTAAATATACTTTAACCACATAGTTCTAAATACGAATATCATATTAAAAGTATCTATAATATAATACAAATTTTAATTTGTGCTAATCATTTGTTATTACTAGCTTAAAACACATCTTTGAATATAATAGATTACAGTTAAGGACATATTTTAAAATATATCTCGGGCGCAAAAATCAAGTTCTGTATCCAAAATCCGCTTATATTAATTATCCGTGAAAAATTCATCATTTTGGCATTTCTGGTTCTTTGCACTGCTGATAAATTATAATTCATTACAAATATAATGAAATAAATGAATGTGTTGCATTCATGAAACTTTTTGAATGTACAATGGCCTACTTCTTACAAATAAATGTAAATTCTGGATTTGTGCCTGAATTAACTACACGTTTTTCATAATTTCCTTTCGTAATGGGCCTTTTGAATACATTTGATATACATTTGTACATTTAAGTCGGTCGGAACACATTCCTTATTAGTGGAAGTATGCACGAACTGAAAAGCACATGTATGCAGAAACGCTTTTAACATTTGTGTGATAAATGAGTTTGGAATGCGTGACTTAAATATTTTCCATAACCATAGAGTTTCAAATTATCTCTAATGTTAATGTTCAATTAACTTTATAGTTTCTAACGCATTATTTTTAATAAAAGTCATTATACATTCTACATAAATTTTACTAAACCGTGAATTGACAGTCATGTTTTATGCTTTATTTCCTCTCCAAAAACGATAAGAACAATGGGTAAATTAGAATTGATTTTCAGATTAAAAAAAAAAAAACCTTCTTACTAACCTGTAATAATTTATGGGTTTAATGTTTTATAAATTATTTTTGCATCATATATTACATTTTAATATATATGTGATAAATAATCATAATCTCAATCACTCAGATTTTAAACGACAGGAACTAGAAACATAGCAGAAATGTCATTTCCGAGTAGCAATGCACTATTTCCTGAAGTTGTGTCGTCTTTCATTAAAGCCAAGAATCCAAGAACCTTCGTAGTATCATTAATATTAAATTAATTAATACAGAAAGTACTTCTGTATTAGTGAAATTAGTTGTAATTAACATTACTTAGATGAATCCGTGAACGTTTAAACACACAAGTATAATATTTAAATGACTATTCTCTGGATAAATGTTCAGTATATATATTTCAGTATCATTATTGATTGGATATAATTACAACATTATTAATAAAAAATGTTATAATTTTTAAGTTTAGTAGGTATTTTATCAAATTTAGAAAATTAAATATGAACACGATATTATAAAAGAACAAAATTATTATTATATAATCATATTTACCTTTGCATCATTATTTATTATTTTCCCATAAAAACTACAAACTGGATGTTTTACCACCTGCCAAAAAGAATAAGTACTATTTGAACTATAATACTTGTCAAGATTATTTATATACTTACTAAAAATACATTTAATATAAATTGGAAAATTAATAAGTTCTTTTTTTCTTATGATGTATTGAATAGTGTACAATTAACTATAAATTATTGTTTAATGTTATTTATGTTTAAACTTTTGGGTTTCTTTATATCTCAGATTAAGATTGTACTCATGGAGTCCATCGAAATTAATATGGGAAGAAGAAACGGCCATGCATGTACCAAATATGTATACAGTTACAGCGTTGGCGTGGAAAAGAGACGGATCACGCATCGTTTGTGGCACACTATGTGGATGCGTAGAACTCTTTGAATCGGTTATAAAGTAAGAAGATCATTTTTTTATAGTTCTATCAATCGATAAACGACTTCAATTACTAATATTTTGTTAAGAGATTAGATTAATATTTTAATTTTACCGTAGGTTAAATAGTACACGGAGTTCAGTTAAATCTAACCTGCAATATAAATTGTTATTATATTTAGTAATTTGTTGCATATCAATTCGAACAAACACATTATTACATAAACCAAATCTTTATTTTACCATGATTACTATTTACTTAGTTATGTTACGGTAGATAATTATGAAAGAGATAGGAATCTCAGAATTAAGTTATTTGCCGGATGTTCAACGGTAATAGGGAAGTATGTGCAGTGAACTGTATTAATGGCGAAGTCGTTTCCTTGCAAATATCAGGTATTCCAACCAATCGCATGTAGACATAGCCGAACATGTATGAATCTCGAGTAAACGTCTGCACCGTTCCGGTATGGTGCAAAGCTCATATGAACGAACGCTGCATATAATTCCAGTTCAGTGTCCATTATTATAATAGACTTATTAATAGTTTTAATTAAACTCAGAAGTTGATGAGAGTGCAATATAATACGAGATAGTACACAAAGATTATGAAAAACCAATAATGAAATAGATCAACGAACGAGCAAAAACTGATGACCATACAACACTATGTGTGTTTGTACATTATGTTTCGTACTCCACGTGACCAAATAAATATTAAAGGGTTTTAAAGTAAATTACCATACTCAATGAAATGGTTATATGACGTAAAATCATTTATTCCCGGGAGTAAGCAAGCAATAAACAAATGGATAATATTTGTTTGGTGTTAAATTAATTATTATAGCATTGGTCAAGGCAAAGAATGGTCAAGTATAATCATGTAATATGATGTATTGTTAGGGGTAGACTGATATGAGGTGTTAGATTTTGTTGACTTCACGGGCCTTTTCCATATTTGTATGATTGGCACCTGATTATTGATGTTCTGAGGGTTAAGGGTTTAGACACCTCACAATCGCTAGACAACAAACATATCAGTACATACGTGTCTTAGGCATAAATAAATTCAAGTGATTCGATTAATATTTGGCCATGTTTGAATTGCTTTTTTTGTAGCTTTCAGCCCTTCAAATCAGATTCATGGCCTGAAAAATAAATAATAAAAGTTCATCAGACATAATAAATAAAAACATTTACCTTATTATAATTTATAGTTTTGAATGGCTTTGCATTCATGTTTATAATAACGAACAAAGCTCATTTTGGTAAATTTCAAATAACCGTGAACGTTACATTATAATAAATACTATAGTATTTTTGACATACAATTACGTGGTTCAATAAAATATGTGATATTGTTGCCGCATGTTTGTTGTTAAACCTGTAAATAAATTATATTTATTCATATATTTTCCACTGCTATTTTATCATAACTTATTTTACCTCTAACTAATTGAAAAGATAATTATTTGTGTGATGGTTAACTCGTGTAAAGTTGTAGAATTAAAGATGAAGTGGTAATATACAAACTTTAAGTGAGATATCTGGTTTTATGATAAACTCCCACAATCACTTATATTTATTGTTAGTCCTTATATGAATATACAGTTCATAATAAAAGTCAGTTTTGTGAAAAAGAATGAGACAAAGCACAACTTATCATTAGTATAGAAATTCCATTTCGTGATTACCGTTGTTAAATACCTAATATTGTAATATTTAAATTAATTAAAATTAATTAATTGATATTTAAAAAAAACGGACAGTAAATTTTTTTTTCTGTTTGAACATTGTTTTTTTTATATGTTTACATCCATAGGAAAATTTACTATGCCGATTATTTTTTTGCTTAATTTTTTCATTAATATGATTACTTTTTATTAATTTATAATAATTACATTAAACTGATTAGTTATGTATTTTATGAATGTAAGTGTTGGTTAATTACATCTGTTTTTATACTTATTTAAATCTAATTAAAAAACACATTATTTTTATCGTTTTAAATAACTTAAAATTTATTTGTATGTATTTTATTGCTTCTTTTCAACTTCCATTATCCCCAATGCCATATTATTTTAGTGATATTTGTAAAAATTAATAAATTGAAAAACGTCATCAATATTTGTTTATGTCGAACAGAACTAATTTTATTTTACTATATTACTTAGTTGTTATTTTTTTTTCAGGCGAAATATATGGAAAAATAAATTTGAAATGACTTATGTAGGCCCAAGCCAAGTTCTTGTGAAACCTCTAACTAATAATAAAGAAAATGAATCATCAAATGGAGTCATACTTAAATCGCAATATGGTCACGAAATTGAGGATGTCCGAGTCATGGGTGAAGATCGGTATTTGATTGGTCGTACTAGGGACACTTTGTTATTAGGTAAGGAAATAAAATTATATTTTTATATTCGTCTAGTACATACTGATGTACATTTTATACATTACGTGGTTTAAATAATATACGAATATAGTCTTGATTACAAGTTTGAGTATAATTATGTATTTATAAGAACATCTAACTTTGGATCCGGATCAACTCCTACAACAAATCATTAATTGATTTAGCTAATTATACTTATGAGTTATAAATTTTAATTTGCTTATTGTTTTTTTAAATATACAGATTATTATATTAATATGTAAATAAAAAAATGGAAGGATTAAAGACAAAGCCGTAGGAATAGTTAACACAAATCCAAAGTTTAATTTTTTTTCATTCGAAAATTTATTTGTTTGTAATTGTGTGCAACAAAATGTTTTTGAATTTTTTTTTTTTTCGTTACATAATTTAATTACTAATTGTACTTAATAGTATTTATTAAAAGCTTACACTATTTGTAAATAAAAATGTATTTAATAAACATATACATTATTTATGAACAGTCACGTTGTATAATAATTTATTTTAATCACAGATTTTCGATTCAAACGATTTATCACATCTAACCGACAGATACTTTTAAATCCACTATATAATTTCAACATTGGAAGGAGCCAAAATTAAAGCTGGGGTACAAGAAGACTTACTATCCCCCTTCATTTTTAATATCCATGTTACTGACCAATCTAATATATAATTAACCATGGTAGTAAATTACGCTGACGATAAAACCATCATCTCGATCAATAAAGATCCTTTAATTGTTTCATCAAATCTACAAACGCATCTTAATTTCTTGTCCAAATGATAACAAGGCCCACCAAAAAAATCTAACACTAATAGAGTAAAAGCCTTTCAAAAATATATCACTTCGACAAATTTTAAACGTTCCATTATATATTTCTAACGAGCTACGAGCTCGATGTAAATTTTTTTAATGTACAATACATCAGTTGTTGTAATAGTATCTATTTCATGGTATCTTAATTCTGCATGTAATAACTTTAAAGGTCTTTCATATAGTAATGTTTCAGTGTCTGCTTTTTCTTTATAGAGTTACTAATTTCTTGCCTATTAAGTACTTGTTCAGATAATAATCCTACATGATTATTATGGTTCAAATTACTTTCGTCAAATATTACTTTGTCATTTTCATTTACTTTTAAAAAAGCCTTACATATTTTTATCGTACAGTTTCACCGTTCTTTATTGGAAGTTAACTTTTTTTGAAAAATAAATTTAAAACCTTCAATTATTTTAACACATATGCCCTTTCCATTAAATATGTTTCGCACTTCACATTGATCCATTCTAAAAACCTTTGTAAAAAAATATTTGTAAAAATAATACCGTACAACGAAACGAGTGTTGGAAACCAACTAAACGTTACTCGATCACGTATATTATTTACTATAGTCCGACTCAGGTCTTGTTTGCATTACATCTTATCATTACAGAAAAGCGTATATTGTCTTAATGATTAGTACTATAGATAGTACAATCATATAAAAAATATCAAATATAACTAAAGTTATAAATTACAACTTTGAAATTACAAATTTATTTTGATACACGTTGTTTGAAAATATTTGGAACCACTTATATATGTATTACCTGAATATTGGGAGGCAACTAGTACTAGACCCTTTTCATTTAAGATAAAATTTAGGGAACGTCGAGAGGCTACTCATATAAAAATTATTGACCTTTTTGATTTTGGGAGGCAACTAATGTGCGCCCGTACAAATTTTTTATGTAAAATAATAAAAAAAAAAGCAGTTTATATTCGAGTATTTCTGGATTGTTAAATTGTATTATCTTGCTTATTAGAGTTTTTGATTTTAATGACAATATGATTTGAAAAATGTTTAAATAATTAAAATGATGTGATTCCTCTAAATTATGATTTCATTTATTAAAAATTGTCGCAGAAGTTTCCGAGAACAGGTAAATTAATATTTCCCTTAGCACTAACGAAAATTAAATAAACAGAACAGATATACTAGGTAATTAAAACATTACCGTTTGGTAGTACTTACACTATTCTACTGTGCACTGCGTGGGTGTTTTATAATAATCGTAATGGAAACCATTGAAACAGGTGATATGGAAAGGAATTTGTTAAGCGAAGTCGTTTGGCCTTATTCGGAAAGAAACGAGAAATTCTACTTCGAAAATCCAAACGTGTGTATGATTTTCAACTGCGGCGAATTAACTCTTGTGGAATACGGAAATGACCAGATACTAGCGACTGTCAGGTAATCGAATATGCATTTAAAACAAACACAATTAAATTTTTGAATGGGCGGGACGGGCGGAAGGGAACGGTATGAAAGGCGTTTTTTTTCTTCTCCATTATTTAACGATTTTTAATTACAAAACCATTGTCTGGTGTGGACGTGATTGGAAGCGGGGGAAAACATTAATAATAATTTAGTGTAACGAGAATGCCGTCACATAATCGCTCCACATAAATCTGACAAAAGAACGACAAGGTTGCTAAGAGCCGAGTTTCATTAATTACAATTAATATTATATAAAATACCTATAAACACCGCGTACCTCCAAACACACAAGGGGAAAAAACGGGAAAAAAAACGATAGAAAAAGGTATATAGAGTAATCTTATGGCTGGTTGCGTTGCTGTTAAGTCGGAATCAACGAAATAGTACGTAATTAATAGAGAAGTTAATTTGCCATTGGATTACGGCTCTCGGTGCGCGCAGCAGCGTCGTCGTGCACCAAAGGGATGGCTACGTCTTACCGTAGCAGATCAAATAAAACCACGCGCCTACCCCCAAACAATTATTCTCACGACTTATGCCAATTTATTTTATAACTTTTCGAACACATTCAAAACGTAAAAATTATTAACGTTACATTCGTAAGCATTAACTTGTACACCGAATTGTATTCCATTCGACCAAAATTTCCCTAAACAATGATGTATTAGGCTTAAGAATCCTCAACCCGGTAGGAAATGGTCGGAGAAGCCGCCTGATGTTCTTTCGTGTACAACAACGCGAGAAACGATAGTATACATTACTTGCCGTAATCTTATAATCTTAGTCAAATAATATATACTTATCGAGCACGATGTTTAGGTTTATTTTTCATTTTAGCGCAAAACTTTTTACGCGGCCATCGATCGGTCGGGGTAAGGAAGAGGGTGAACCGAAAATAACTGTACTAGCAGTAATAGTAATAATAATAATAATAATAATAATAACAATAACATCGCTATCGTGCGCGAACGCAAGTCGTTTGATTCACATACTTCTAGCGGTTATTTTAATAACAATAATATTACGATTTGCCGTTACCCGAGATGCGTTTTCGGCTCGGCGGGTTCCGCGATGCAGATCATTATTTAACGCGCGGTACGGTGCGCAGTGGTCATACGCGCGCGAAATGCACCGCGACGCCGGAGAAACTTCGGGTCCGTAATGCCATTAAAGAACAATGAATAATTGTTACGCAAATCGGCTTCGTGTAATATAACCTTAATACAGAAAACAGTCGCGTTTTACATAATTAAATATGCATAAATTATTACCAAAAACGTACGAGAAGCGGCGGTCACCCTGACTCATAATTCTATCACACGCGTATAACCATTAAACGATGACATTTGTAAAAATTGTTCAAGAAAAAAAAAAGAAAATTATTGTCCCTTCTCCCTCCAAACCATACGCCCTTACAGTACCAATGATAAATTTTTGACAACATAATTTATTAGCGGTGCCCAAAGTTTTGTCGTTCGTGGGCGAGACCGAAGTTAGCAAGGTTTTATTTAATAAACGATTAGAACGAATACACAGGAGTTATCGTATGTACGATGGAGGGGGAGGGGCAAAAAACACTTATATAATATAAAATGGAATTATAATTACGCAAATATTATTAATATTATGCTGTTGTACGTCTCATTGTATTCCGAAACTGCCGGCAAGTTACGATTGATTATTGGTTATAAAGTTATTAAACCGTATGGTTTTGCATCAAATATAAAACTAATCAACTCCTTTGGATTGATAACTGGATTCGCAAGCTAAATTTGTTATAAAATTTTGAAATAAAACATTTACCGTTGGTATAATTGTTTCATTGTTTTATGGTTCAATACGGGTAAGCTATTTGGACGAATGATTACAGTTAAAATAATGAAACTGTATGTCTACAACGAACACATCGAAGCGTACAGTATTGACAAATTTCAATACATCATGTACACTGTACGATTTAAAATTTTCAAAAAGCTTGTATAAATATCACAATTTTTTTTTTTTTTTTTTTGATACAGTGAAATTCACTAAAGACGAACTTCAAATAATCAACTCCAAAGATCTTCTTCAGTACCAGGGTCTTAAACGAGTTTTACTATACTACTGTACTGTGTATGGTAGTTATACAGTTGATTGATAGAATATCTAAATTCAATAACTTTGTTAGCTGCTCTTATTTTACAAATTGAATGAATTTTTAAGAAAATCCCTTTTACAATAAAACACTTATGATAAATATAGATTCTAAATAAAACGAGGAATATATTAATGTTATCATGTTGTGTTTATTATTTTTATGTCTGTGCACGATTTCGATCAGAAGGGTTGCTCCTATCGTCACAATAATAAAGTATTTCTGTTAGAAAATATTTTCTAGTTGATACTTTGAAGGAGATAATTTTATCAATTTTCAAACAGTTTTATTTATAATTACAAACAACTGACAAATTTTTTTAACAAAACCAATTATAATTTTTGTTTACAGTATATCATAACTCGAAAAAAAAGAAACAATAACAATTATAGAGACTTGAAAAATTCACTAAATGTTTTTATTACCATTTCTTTTAAAGATAGTGCCGTAAAAACCGAGAGAGCAGAGTGTGCATTGCATTAAGGCCACAAGCCGAATATTATATTTTGAGGTCTCATATGCTCAAAAATATTTAATAGCAAGGATCCCAAAGATTTTGATTTGCACAAAGGCCTCGAGTATTTTAGTTACGGCACTGTATGAAGAGTATAGTTTTCAAAAGATAATTTTGAGTTATTTATAGAAAATTTAAATTTTTATGTTTTCTTATTTTTTTTTTTCGAAAATATCGATAAAATAAATTTTACAAATTTAAAACAAAACAAAACTTCTTGAAAATTAAATATAAATTTCCTCTTGAGAAATTGATACGTCAACTCAAAAACTCAGTTTTCTATGTATATATTTTATTATGTTACTGCAGTCTCCTTTTTTTTTCTATTGTAATGTTATTTCAAACCTTAGTCACTTTTAACTATTTAAATCGTATGGTTTATTGTTTTATATTTAATTTTCTATTAATACTTAAGTGGACCATTATATTTATTAAAATATTTAATTTATTATAACCTAATATGCTAAAAAAAATTCATTCCATGAATAGTAATTTTCGGAAACAATTTATAATCGTAGGCACAAATTTAACTAAAATAACAGAACTTCACTAAACGTTCCATGCTAGTTGTACATCAATAAGAAAACAACATAAATCAATGTCATCTACCCAACTTCGATATCTTATCATTACCACCTACCTCACTGGTGACTTGCACATACCTAATTATTATTCATCTAAGACCGTCAACAAACATTAATTGTGAGTGTTTGATGATTATATAGTTCTAGACATTAAAAACTCTACCAAATATAACAAATACATTTTACTAATAAAAACTAAAAAAAACTAAAATAATGAACATACAATAATAAAACCAATAATAACCAAAATAATTTTGATGTTTGTAAATATTCCTGCTCTAAATTTTATGCTTTAACCGAAATTCTGATATAAAAGAGAAATGTTAATTCCTGTATTAATGCATGTTAGAATTATTTTCCATATAAAAATATTCCTAATAATCCAGATATAAATTCACCAAAGACGGTAAACCAGCCCCACATTTTTTTTAGTTTATTGTCTATCATGTTGCTAATGGTATTTTCATCAACCAACGAGTTTAAATTTAGCCTGTGATCCATTATTGTGAAACCTATAGTTTGTCTTGCCAAATTTTTTTGGGATGCTTCTATTTCTTGGGGTAGTACTAGATATTGTTAAAAATTTCTCATAATTCCTCCGTTTGGTAGGTGGTTTGTTAATTTTTGGTGTAGTTCAGAGCAGCAAGCACTACCTAATTCAATTATTTCTGTGAAAAATCCATTTTCTACAATTTGCCCATCTTCTAAAAGTGAACATCTACTAATAAAATAGTTAATTATTATTGAGCATGCTTTATAAAATATTTGAAAAGTATCTGTTTTCTGTAGAAGTTGAATTCTTTGAATCCGTTGGGTGTTGATTTCTGATGGTGGTTCACATGGTTCCACATAAAGGCTATTGAATGATGTTATATTGATTTTTGGTCCATTACAATCGTATGCAATAAATACATGTGGCATTTATAGTTGCAAGGTGGTAAATAGAATTGTGAAGATCATTGTGATTATGTTTAGAGTTGAATACAATGTTTTTGTTTTACTACTTATAAAGAGTATGATACAATGATTGCTCAAAACATACATAATATAATATAATTAATATTAATAATTTTAATACTAATAAATAGTTCCTAATATGTATAGTTATATGTTACTTTTTAAAATTGTTGTTTTTGTTTTTTTTTTATAATTTTCTATATTTATTTACTTATTTTTTATTTTATTTTATTTTTTATTTATTTATCCCCTTTTTTTATATATAAGTGATTTATGAACTTAATATTAACATAGTTGAGGTGAAAGTAAAAAGAGAGTGTATTGAAATAGAAAGTGTATGAATTGTGTATACTAGAAAATATGTATTATTACATTATTTTTTTTACTATAATGATTTGAGTATATGGTTATTAATTTATTTCTATACCATTAATTATTTTATAGTTTATATATTATAGATTTATTATAATCATATAATTAATATAATATATTTATTAATGATTATTATTTTATGTTAGTTAGTGTTGGTTCATTGTCAATATTTTCTCTTGAGTGGTATATCATTAGTAATAATATAATTTGTATTTGTATTTTGTGTGATGGTTTATCTGTTCTTGTTTCAGGTATCCAATGCGTATTTGTATTAACATTATATAAAACGATTATGGGCCTATTCTTATAATTTTTTTTTTTTTTTTGATAGATGATTGCTGTTTTATTAGTGTCATTATAAATTTAAGTGTCGTGATTATAATAAACAGCGATTGCGGCTAGTTTGTCATCA